GGCTAGTGCTGCCAAGCTTGTCAGCACTGCTGGTTGGACACCTGGAGAGGTCCAGGGCTGATGTCCAAGAATCAGCTGATTGTCAGACATCTAGCCACAGGCCCAGTCTTTGGACATGCCACAAATTCATTTTAAGATGCTATACAAACCAGCCATAAAAAAGTTCTTTATTGCACATGGAACATCGTTTATACTTGGTTTGCCATTTTATGGTGCCTTGAACTGGGTACATGTGTAGCACCCTTGCCACATATGCTACAATTAAACCCATTAATTGTGGCATAAATAAATGTTATGTGTAGAGGGGCCCTTACTATCCACACAGCCTCTCTTATTTAGTAGCCAGGAGGTTACTTTAATTACAAGGCTTCATAGATGATTTGAGAATAAACTCTTGGTTTTAGGAAGATTTTAGCTTAGAGAGGCAAGCAGGAACAGAGAATGCACTCAGGAACCAACCCAAATAATTAGCTAAAAGCTTAAACTAACAAACTGTACATTTGGGATGATTTTTTTTTTTTTTAAACTCAAAAGGTTTGAATGAAGCATATAAAAAACATGCATTTATTACTGTTTATCATGTTTGAAGTCTACAAGTAAATTTATGAAGTCATTATGGAACCAATAAGAGACTCTACTATTCCTGTCAAAAGGAAGCTCTACAAATCCCATAAATTTCCCGTAGTTTATAAGGGGAAGAAAGTCTCTGTTAGCTATCAAGTATATGTAATGGAACATTTAGTATTCTGTAGCCTCTTGTGATTTGTCAATTTAGTTTAAAAATGGAAGCCTGGTTTAGGCTAATGAGATGTTCTGTGGCATCCATAAAGCCCTCAGAAACTGTTAAGTGCCTCTCAAGTTTTAAACATTTAAACAGCAATACAAGAGGCTGTAAATAGGTCACAAAAGATAGCAAGGCCTCATATCAAGCTAAAAATAGACACACTTAAAAAACAAAACAAAACAGAGTTCAGTGTTGGGAAACCTCTCTTGAATCAACCTTCATGTAAATCAGGGAAAGACCCTGCACTCAAAAAAAAATAAATAAATAAATAAATAATCTGTTCGCTCTCTAATCAAGATGGCTCCCTTATCTGAAATTATGCTCTATTTGGATGCTTTAGCATGCACATCACCCTGGCCATGCGTAGTAATGCAAGCCCACATGTTCTAGAATACCTAGCATGCTGCATAACTGGGAACCAACAAACAGGCTCACAATAGGTAGCAAACAGAAAAATGATAAAGAGTTGCTCTATGCACAGCTTGTTCTGCAATATTTAATAACAGATCCTAACCTTCTCTCTTACTTGCGACTGGTATAATTCACTAAACTACTATATTTCTAACCGGAAGCAGTGTTTCAATAAAGCCAACATATTGTGTTAGATTGCCTTCTGGGGGTCAATTATGTAATATATATTCTTGGCTCAATGTATATAATACTTATTGGACATAGTCTTTATTCTTAATACCAAAAAGGTTCTTGGTTTTTAAGTAAAAGCTAGTCACAAACCACACAGATTATAGAACATTATGTTAAATTTCTCTCTAAGCCAGGGTGAAAATGTACAATATATTTAACTACATTTAACCCCTAACTTCTAGGATAAGTTTTATTGGAAAAGTTGCTACAAAAATAAAATGACTACTTACTTTATTAGCACTCCCAGCTTTAATTCCAATTGGCACTTTACTCTAAAACAAACACACAACACCGAAGACAAATTACTATTTTGTACACAGAAATGATTATGCCAGAATGTAGTCTCCGCGAGTTTCACATGTTGCTTTAATACTTATACCTAATCTACCCAAGGTAAAAACTGTTTCCTGCAAGTTAATTCTTTAGTTACCTTGTTGCACTGATTTCTAGTTTTCAGTATGATATTCCAACCCAAGGTAAAACGAATTGGCCCATCTACACTGAAAATTATTTTGCCCAGTCAAGCAGTAACACCTAACACAATATTTAGGAGTGTTCACATAGTATTATTTAACACAGCTTTTGATCAGGGTAGGTTTTAATACCAGTTGCTTTTAAATCCAGTCTAAGAACAAACTATTTAGTAACTATTACACTTGAGACTAGAATTATGTGAATGTACACACTTATTAAATTATATGGATGAACTTCATTAGGTTCTATAACAGGGAGCCAGAGGCTCCAATACTTTAAAGGGAGAGGCCACAGCACCTATGTCCCCAGGTAGGGGAGAACAGCCGAGTCTGGGCCAGCTGCAAAGGACTGGGAAGCTAGGGACCCATAGGCTGCACATGCCCATTGTGGGGCTAGCTGCCTAGCAATAGGATAATAGGGAAGAGCACTGGTTAACCAGTAAGGGTACTACTGCAGCTTGGCCAGAAAAACAGCAGTAAGCTGCTGGGGGGGGGG